GAGAGAGAGAGAGAATGAGAGAGAGAGAGAGAATGAGAGAGAGAAAAAATGAGAGAGAGAGAGAATGAGAGAGAGAGAGAATGAAAGAGAGAGAGAGAATGAGGGAGAGAGAAAGAATGAGAGAGAGAGAGAATGAGAGAGAGAGAGTGAATGAGAGAGAGAGAGTGAATGAGAGAGAGAGAGAATGAGAGAGAGAGAGAATGAGAGAGAGAGAGAATGAGAGAGAGAGAGAGAGAGAGAGAGAGAGAGAGAGAGAGAGAGAGAGAGAGAGAGAGAGAGAGAGAGAGAGAGAGAGAGAGAGAGAGAGAGAGAGAGAGTGTGTGTGTATGTGTGTGTGTGTGTGTGTGTGTGTGTGTGTGTGTGTGTGTGTGTGTGTGTGTGTGTGTGTGTGTGTGTGTGTGTGTGTGTGTGTGATATACATGTATATGATAGACGTATACTTACACACACACACACACACACATATGTGTGTGTGCGTGCGTGTGTGTGTGTGTGTGTGTGTGTGTGTGTGTGTGTGTGTGTGTGTGTGTGTGTGTGTGTGTGTGTGTGTGTGTGTGTGTGTGTGTGTGTGTGTATTATATTTATATTATGTACATGTATATCACATTTACATATTAGGTAACAAAATAAATAACAGCAGTTAAATACTATCAGATATTTTAGATTCTTTGATGAACAATTTTTTTTTTTTTTTTTTTTTTTTTTTTAAAGGAGCACTGATGAGCATTTATTTTACATGGTCAATATAAATTCATAATAGAAAAACATGTAATCTCTAACACAGCTCTGCACCTTACTATTACATTTTACCAAATTTCAGTGTTTAACGTGAAAAAAATTATACATGACATTAAGATATGCCTGTTAAAAATGCATAAAGTTCTAAGTTTACTTTTACACTTCTCGACTTGGAATAACTCCGAAAAGAGCAAATAGAAAGAGGGAATTGTATGCTTATTCAAAGTTATCTGAATGTATTTCTTTTAACTTGTGGGACCAAAGTACACATGATGACCATATCCTTGGTTTCAGTGTAGTTTTAGAGACAAAGAGAGTATAAAAATAATCTAAATTTTCTGTGGATAGGGATGTGTAGTCTAACATACTACATCAGTGTCACCTTAATAGAGCTCCAGTTATCAGACACATATCTAAAGTGTGGATCATTAAGATTAAGTTTATCATGATCATTAGTGTGCCTCATCATAATGCTTTCATATAAATGTTCTCAGTTAATAGTCCATTCCATTCTCACTAGATTCTTCCATAATACTGGGTATTATGGTATTATTTTGCATGTACTAAGTAACCATATTCAGTGACCTGTATAACATAACAGCAATAATATAATATACAAAAAATGTATATTTAATCTGCCCATATAACTTTTGTTTTCTTTCAGTTTGGGTTACAGCATGCAATCTACTGAATTGAAATCTACAGAAATGTGTAAGAATTCAGTCATACTCATGAGTAAGTCATCCCCTTCACTCCAAATAAAAAACCTGAAGTTTACCAGCAGCTTTCTGAAGTCAGTTTGGCAGCCAGTATAAATACAAATAACATAATCAACTGAATTATGTGAGGAGTAAGAGAAATATATTTCAGAAGACAATTTTTTTTTATTGTGATATTGCCATTTTATTGTAATATTTTCTTATATAGAAACATCATCTGCCTTTTACCTGTATTTTTTTTTCTGTTACAATGAATTAACCTGCAGAAAACTTCAGTCAGCTTTACATTTTAAAATATACTGAAATTAGTAAGGTGACTAATGTTGCTCTGCCTACAATGGTCTAACAAAATTTAAATATAAAAAACAATTATTTTGATTGAAAACACACAAAAAATAATCATATCAACAATAACAATCATTATATCAATAATCCTGGCAACAAATTAAACACTTTTTTTTTATATAATCAGATCAAATTTCTACACATTTAAAAAATGAACTGGAATATGCCAACTTTTCTCTGAGATTTCTCTTTTATTTCTACCATCAGCAAATTTTTGGTAGATATTTCCCCTGAAGTATCTCCTCAAAACATTATTAGGAGACGACTACCATCACTGCCTCAAAATTAGATGAGATATATGCTATGGTTGTAATATTAATAACCCTCCCCTCTTTCTACAACTATGTTAGATGTGTTGGAGAACTGGGAAATGTTTTTGGAAGAATGACAATACACAAACAGTTTTCTCAGTCATTAACAATTCTAAATCATATACACTTACTTACATGGAAAAAAGGTTTACTATTAAAATTCTAGTCATAAAATCATAGGACTTAATACAAAATGTACAATATTTTCCATCCATTATATAAAAGAATATCATAAACTTACATTTAAAAGAGTAAAATATGGACATGATGTATTCATATACAAAGATAATGCTCAACTACTAGAGACAGAGAGAGAAAAAAAAAACATTAAAAAAAAAAATTCCCTGTTGACATCAACATAGGTTATTGTCAGATTCCCAATTTATTTCCCACATGAGGAATTTCATTTCTACTAATAAATCTACTAAAGTTCAAACTACTTTACAACAATAAATTCGACCTCTGAACTATGCAGTTCTATAAAATAATAATGTTTAATCACCCTATGATTGTAATGTCATCTGAACTGCTTGAAGTCATCATACAAAAAAATACTTCGACATCAGAATCAACACTGCCATACATAAAAGCAAACCCAGATCAACATACATCATTCCAAGACAAGACATATCTGTAAAATAGATGGACAAACAGCATTAGAATCATATCTGCTGTTTCCTTCCCTGATTTTTCTTATGACAAAAATGAACATCACAAAGCTCTGAGTGCAATGCCCAACTTCTGCCAAACATATCCAAAAACACTGTTCTATATTCTATCAACTAGAATATTGTGAGAACTGTGAAATATTTTTTTTATTTCTCAATAATTTAAACACAAATAATTAGGCTAACATTGAATATCAATAGGTTATAGCCGTTTCTTTAGCATGAATTTTATGAACTATATTAGTATTTTCAAATCTATATTGTCATATCAGTTCACCAAATCTATTATTATTATGATGTTAATTACTAACATTGCTAATAGACGTAATAATAATGATATTGATAATAAACATAATAATGCTAATGCAAATGATAATAATAACAATAATAACAATAATAATAATAATAATAGTAATAATAATAAAATAATAATAATGATAATAATAATAATAATAATAATAATAATAATAATAATAAAAATAACACTAATAATATAATAATAATAATAATAATAATAATAATAATAATAATAATAATAATAATAACAGTATTTAAAAATTATAATAATAATTGGTAAAAATCATGGAAACGAAATGCATCCTTGGCAGTGCACCTATATAGTTATTTAGGCGTAAAGAGCAAGTAAACATATACATTACAAGCCAAATAATATTTTCATGATTACATTTAAATTAAACTGCAAATCAGGAAATCTTTAGTATGCAAATGTCCCAATTTAGAAAATAAAGTTGCTAAAAGGCCTTCTAAGGTTTTCAAGATTTTTTAACCAGGTTTTTAGTTTTAAGAAATTTGTGGTATAGGCTGTTGCTCCAAATACATCTTTTTTCCTGTAAAAATAATGTAATATAGAGGAAATTTGCAGTTTTGATTCTAATTCTAATTCTTAAAAAAAAAAAATCATAAATTTGTTTTTGTTACTTTGATTATTTAGCTCCTTGGTTAATTACATTTATGTAGGACACAAAAAACAGTTTTTATTTCTTTTACAAAGAAATCCATCCTGTAGGGTTGTAATACATATCTATTATTTTCTGAGATATATTAAGAATGTTAGATTTCAAATTATAGTTCATGTTGCTAAAAAAGGGATCTTATCACTTGGGTTGCCATTAAGAAATTCACCCAAATTCAACGGGCATGGCATGTACGTATATGTCATGCCTACTGTGAGTTTACTTTATCAATTGTTTTTACACATACATGGCTACACTTTTATTAAGTCACCAGCGAGCCAATTATGAGTACTGCCTGTCTTGCCTGTTTACCCTTTTCCTTGATTTTCAAAAATATTTTACATTATTTTGCTGTTACTAATGTCAATAACATTATAGTAATTATAATCTGTAATAAAAATAACACCATCAATATTCAAAACATGTATAAAAAAAAAAAAAAAAATTCTCACCAATTCAAGGAAAGGTAAAATCTACTAACTGACTCCTTTATGGCTAAGCACAAGCAGAAAAATCTATGTGTAGAGACATTTCACAAAAAAATAAAATAAAATAAAAATGAGCACAACATTTTCCTGGCAGCACTGGGTTAAATAAAATGAATTGATCATTTGATGACCTCTGACAAAAGACGCCTACAATTATGTTTAACTCATCAAAACCTGATACACTTGGAGAGTGTCAGAAAAAAGAAAAGGAGAAAAGGGAGATAAGGCAGAAGGAGGGAGGTAGGGAGGAAAGGAAGGAAATAATGATGGAACAGAGAAGGAGAACCAGTCTATTAATTGCAAAATGCCTATTCAACAGATCTGTGGAGGATCGCTGTTTCCTCCTTGTGATGTACTTAAACGATGCAGAGTAATGCCCTGATTGCTCTACAACACTACCTTTTTAAATAATTGTATTTTTCATAATAGCAACCATGCTTATCTACAGTATTTGGCATCTTCTTCATTTGTAATTTGTCAGTCTTTCCCTTGCTTTGATTAGGAAGAGACACTTTTTTCCTGCAACAAGGGGTTTAAGAGACAGTAAGAATGAAACAAGTCAGGATATAAAGAAAATGGCAACAAAAAACAAAAAAAAAAAAAATGGAAAGGAGACAAAACAGGATAAACAAAACAAAAAATGCAAGATGTACTATACTGTAACCATGCACAGGTTTTGCTTTGACTTTAAATAAGCAAGGAAAGAGGTAAACAAGAAATTAGATTTAAAATGGATGTAATAAAGTATACAACAATATCATTTTAGGAAATCTAATTTCTATTTTATCAATATGATGACAATAAGCATATAATGTTCAATGCTACAGCTATGTTGAAAATATATAAAAATGTGTTTCTGAGTAAAGATTAAAAGGAATTCATATACAAGTGTTTTAGAAATCTTAAGTTGATCAAACTTTCCCACTTTCAATTGCAATCACACACCAAAGCCATGTCAGGACATTTAAAATTGTTTCACAAATAACAAATAAACTCACGGTGAGGTATTCTGAGGCTTCAGCATCGAACAAACTTTTGTATGTGGCTGTACTTGACACACAAAAATCAGAAGCTTTTTATGGTTACAGCACCAAAAGTCGGCAACCAAACCAAAACCCCTTCATTTCTTAGTAAAGTAAGCTACCATTTGCTCCTCTGTCTGCTTTTATTTTTCAAAATCAATATGTAAAGCACCTTAATAGATATTTGTCAGAATTACTTCAATGTGAACTTCTACTTCAAGAAAGATTCTAAGAAGCATTATTAAAAATTTTGGCAATAATTTTTCTACTGGCTAGTTAAATTTTTTTGCAAATTCATTTTGGTGTAAAAATGTCATTACTGAATATCAACACTATTTTCTTTTGCCTACGAAGATTCTCTATAACTCCAAGAAACTATAAATTTTGTTGAAAGAGAAAATGGTATGAAACTGCGCTTATTACTGATAGCATTTAACTCAAATGCTATGAGTGCACCACTGTCTATGAATCATCTAATACTGCAGGTCTTAACTGAGAATATAACACATATTAAATGCAGTCTTCCACTTATCTTCTTTATAATTACAGTACGGACAGTGTGTGGACAAATGCCCATCACTGGAAACACCAGTTGCATATTTGTCATATCAGACAATATAGCACAAACAGAACCATTTTGACATACCACTTGTTACTAGTAAGAATGTGACATCATTAATAGCTCAAATTCTAACACTTACAGGAGAGGATTGAAAATAAATCTCCCTAACACCTCATAAAATAGTTAAATACCCATAACATTATGTCTGATGATTAAATTGCATCCCAACATAGTATGTCAAATATAGACATTTTTTACTGTTGAGTATACATCAACCTGATTTCTTTAACATTAGCCATATGAAACATTATTAGCATCAAGCATGCTACATCTACCAATATAAGGTAAAAATATATAAAATGGAGCATAAGCAACTGCCATTTCATGTCTACAAACCAAATTAGCATTTTCCTGAAGTTCTTGTAGTTTCCATTAAAGGCTCTCTTCCTAAATGAACACATTTGTTTCTGTGATAGGACTTACATCAGGCAGAGTAAGGCATTCATGTTCACAACTTGTAACCTTATGAGTTCTTTTAAGTCTATGTCAAGTCTTTCTTTTACTTCAGTTTAGTATATCTTTAATTCAGTAACTATATTTCAATGTGGGCATATTGTTAACAAATAAAATCTCCAAAACTATAGTGCAGTTTTGATGCCAACCCCGTGGCAGAAATTCTTCCTGTAAAGGACTACTCACTCATACTCAATTCATACAGCAAGTATGTGAACAAATCACTTCTTATTTAAGCACTTTCCCAACATAAGAAGAGAACTTTCTTCTACACTTTTTTCATTAGGAAACAATGTTAGTCACCTTCAGACTTTCAAACAAAAATGCAGAAGTTCATAGTACTTTAATTTATATGATATTCTTCTAAGATAAATCCTCCTCAAGTTTGGGCCCTGTCATCATGACTAGATGTGTTGGTATTAGTTTGGTTATTTTCTCTTGTTTCAGGCACTGGTAAATTGTTAAAATGTTGTGTGGCTGCTAAAGCTGACTCCACACCTATGTTGTACAATGGGTGCACCATACTCTGGAAGAAAGAAGAAAAATATATATAAATACCTTCTTCCTCACCTTAAAAATAAAAGAATCAAAGACAAAAAAATCAATAAAGATAGAATGGAAAGATAAGAGGGTGAGAAAGGAAGTTCTTCACATGTCTGCCCAATTCCCTCTCAACCCACAACCCTGATCAAATTTACAGAGTTTGAATAGTCCTTCCTACAAGACACTTCCTTGGCAATTAAATGACCTAACGCCAAATGCTCCAAGATAAATCTACAAAAGACATGAAAAATATAAAAGTCAGAAGTAATAATTGTACAACTGTGTATAAATATAAAAAAAATCAACGAGTTTTTTTCTGAATGCATAGTAATATTAGATAAAATCAGCTTGGAATCTCTGTTGTGCCCAACATTAGCCATTTCAATAGCCAAGAAAATCTGAGGCACTAAAAATATTCATCACATTGTGGATGTGGGATGCTACAAGTAATCCTATCGCCTATTTGCTATCAATTAATACTCAACAGACAAGAAAGTATAAAGCTGGGATAGAAAGTAGAAACCATAATATAGCAAAGGCATAATTATCAGATGATAGAGGAATGGCTCAATATTTGTATGGCCATCAACAAATACTCTGTGTGTGTGTGTGTGTGT